GCTAAATGGATGTGTGGACTCAGGGAGTGTGATATAGCCTGTCTACAGGGTGAGTGAGTGAGTGAGTGAGTGTTTTGAGGTAATGACCTTGAGAATGTCCTGTGACACCAGGTATGAGTTGTCAAATACATACCCTGGAGCTATTAAAAGATACATTGAATATCATTGAGTGAGTGAGTGAGTGAATATGGTTTGACACCGCTTTTAGCAATATTCCAGCAATATCACAGTGGGGAACACCAGAAATGGGCTTCACACATTGTACCCATGTGGGGAATCGAACCCGGGTCTTTGGCGTAAATAGCGATTGCTTTAATCACATCAGGCTACCCGACCGCTCCACTACTTACGGACGGTAGTAAATATACTTTTTGATAGTGACACACTAACTTATAAGAGATGTCCTTTTTTGTTACAGTGATAGTGCGAACAAGGTATAACCCACTTCACTCACTCACCCCATGATTGGGAAGGGTTGATTACCACTAAAACATACAAGGGCCTGTATTGCAATACATCAGTCTCTTCTGCAGTAATCAGATACCGGTGACATGTTGTGATTCATAGCTGGGCGTTTGTCTAAGTTCTATAAACAGGGAAGTGACTTTGTCCATAGCCAAACTAAAATAATCATTTGACCTTTGATACGGCCCCCAAGTTGCTGTTAGAACTGCATGCATGTGGAAGGTCATGTGTGTCTCTGTAATTACAGGGTAAAACTGTCCGGGCTTGGGAAGGTGGATTTCTGAATGACTGATCTAACCTGGTGATGTTTTACTGTGGAATGTTGTAACAATGACCGAGAAGGGGAGGGGATATGGGGGTGAGGGGGTAGGCTTTGAGTTTTCTTGCATGAATCATGTGTTCACAATGTTAAGGAGAGGAATTTGGGGGTTTAGTAGAAATATCACATTGTTACAGTCTTGGTGTTCTATAGGCCTATATCTTACTGTTTTACTGTGTTATTCAGTTTATAACTCTTGAACAGTTTTGCTTGTACACCCCCCCCCCCCCACCCTTCTTTTCCGTGCCTAGTGTTCCAGTTGTACAATGGACACCCTCCATCTGCTGTCTGGTTGTACAACACCCTCCTCTCCTACCACCTGGTGTTCAGGTTCAACACCCTCCTCTCCCAGCCTGGTGTCTTGGTTATACAACAACCTCCCCACTCACCACCTGGTGTCTTGATTGTACAACAACCCCGTCACTCACCACCTGGTGTCTTAAACAAACACCCCCCCCACTCACCACCTGGTGTCTTAAACAACCCCCCCCACTCACCACCTGGTGTCTTAAACAAAAAAAACCCCACTCACCACCTGGTGTCTTAAACAAACCCCCCCCCCCCCACTCACCACCTGGTGTCTTAAACAAAAAAAAACCCACTCACCACCTGGTGTCTTAAACAACCCCCCCCCCCACTCACCACCTGGTGTCTTAAACAACCCCTCCCCCACTCACCACCTGGTGTCTTAAACAACCCCTCCCCCACTCACCACCTGGTGTCTTAAACAAACCCCCCCACTCACCACCTGGTGTCTTAAACAACCCCCCCCCCCCCCACTCACCACCTGGTGTCTTAAACAAACCCCCCCACTCACCACCTGGTGTCTTAAACAACCCCCCCCCCCCCACTCACCACCTGGTGTCTTAAACAACCCCTCCCCCACTCACCACCTGGTGTCTTAAACAAACCCCCCCACTCACCACCTGGTGTCTTAAACAACCCCCCCCCCCCCCCCACTCACCACCTGGTGTCTTGGTTGTACAACAACCTCCCCACTCACCACCTGGTGTCTTATACAACAACCTCCCCACTCACCACCTGGTGTCTATTACAACAACCTCCCCCACTCACCACCTGGTGTCTTATACAACAACCTCCCCACTCGCCACCTGGTGTCTTATACAACAACCTCCCCACTCACCACCTGGTGTCTATTACAACAACCTCCCCCACTCACCACCTGGTGTCTTATACAACAACCTCCCCACTCGCCACCTGGTGTCTTATACAACAACCTCCCCCACTCACCACCTGGTGTCTTATACAACAACCTCCCCACTCGCCACCTGGTGTCTTATACAACAACCTCCCCACTCACCACCTGGTGTCTTGGTTGTACAACAACCTCCCCACTCACCACCTGGTGTCTATAACAACAACCTCCCCCACTCACCACCTGGTGTCTTATACAACAACCTCCCCACTCACCACCTGGTGTCTTATACAACAACCTCCCCCACTCACCACCTGGTGTCTTATACAACAACCTCCCCACTCACCACCTGGTGTCTTGATTGTACAACAACCTCCCCACTCACCACTTGGTGTCTTGATTGTACAACAACCTCCCCACTCACCACCTGGTGTCTTGATTGTACAACAACCTCCCCCACTCACCACCTGGTGTCTTGATTGTACAACAACCTTCCCACTCACCATCCGGTGTTTTGATTGTACAACAACCTCCCCACTCACCACCTGGTGTTTTGATTGTACAACAACCTCCCCACTCACCACCTGGTGTCTTGATTGTACAACAACCTCCCCCACTCACCACCTGGTGTTTTGATTGTACAACAACCTCCCCCACTCACCACCTGGTGCCTTGATTGTACAACAACCTCCCCACTCACCACCTGGTGCCTTGATTGTACAACAACCTCCCCCACTCACCACCTGGTGTTTTGATTGTACAACAACCTCCCCCACTCACCACCTGGTGTCTTGATTGTACAACAACCTCCCCCACTCACCACCTGGTGCCTTGATTGTACAACAACCTCCCCCACTCACCACCTGGTGTCTTGATTGTACAACAACCTCCCCCACTCACCACCTGATGTCTTGATTGTACAACAACCTCCCCCACTCACCACCTGGTGTCTTGATTGTACAACAACCTCCCCACTCACCATCCGGTGTTTTGATTGTACAACAACCTCCCCACTCACCACCTGGTGTTTTGATTGTACAACAACCTCCCCACTCACCACCTGGTGTCTTGATTGTACAACAACCTCCCCACTCACCACCTGGTGTCTTGATTGTACAACAACCTCCACTCACCACCCGGTGTTTTGATTGTACAACAACCTCCCCCACTCACCACCTGGTGTCTTGATTGTACAACAACCTCCCCACTCACCACCTGGTGTTTTGATTGTACAACAACCTCCCCACTCACCACCTGGTGTCTTGATTGTACAACAACCTCCCCCACTCACCACCTGATGTCTTGATTGTACAACAACCTCCCCCACTCACCACCTGGTGTCTTGATTGTACAACAACCTCCCCACTCACCATCCGGTGTTTTGATTGTACAACAACCTCCCCACTCACCACCCGGTGTTTTGATTGTACAACAACTTCCCCCACTCACCACCTGGTGCCTTGATTGTACAACAACCTCCCCCACTCACCACCTGGTGTCTTGATTGTACAACAACCTCCCCCACTCACCACCTGGTGTCTTGATTGTACAACAACCTCCACTCACCACCCGGTGTTTTGATTGTACAACAACCTCCCCCACTCACCACCTGGTGTCTTGATTGTACAACAACCTCCCCACTCACCACTTGGTGTCTTGATTGTACAACAACCTCCCCCACTCACCACCTGGTGTCTTGATTGTACAACAACCTCCCCCACTCACCACCTGGTGTCTTGATTGTACAACAACCTCCCCCACTCACCACCTGGTGTCTTGATTGTACAACAACCTTCCCACTCACCACCTGGTGTTTTGATTGTACAACAACCTCCCCACTCACCACCTGGTGTCTTGATTGTACAACAACCTCCCCACTCACCACCTGGTGTCTTGATTGTACAACAACCTCCACTCACCACCCGGTGTTTTGATTGTACAACAACCTCCCCCACTCACCACCTGGTGTCTTGATTGTACAACAACCTCCCCACTCACCACCTGGTGTTTTGATTGTACAACAACCTCCCCACTCACCACCTGGTGTCTTGATTGTACAACAACCTCCCCACTCACCACCTGGTGTCTTGATTGTACAACAACCTCCACTCACCACCCGGTGTTTTGATTGTACAACAACCTCCCCCACTCACCACCTGGTGTCTTGATTGTACAACAACCTCCCCCACTCACCACCTGGTGTCTTGATTGTACAACAACCTTCCCACTCACCACCTGGTGTCTTAGTTGTACAACAACCTCCCCACTCACCACCTGGTGTTTTGATTGTACAACAACCTCCCCCACTCACCACCTGGTGTCTTGATTGTACAACAACCTCCACTCACCACCCGGTGTTTTGATTGTACAACAACCTTCCCCACTCACCACCTGGTGTCTTGATTGTACAACAACCTCCCCCACTCACCACCTGGTGTCTTGATTGTACAACAACCTCCCCCACTCACCACCTGGTGTCTTGATTGTACAACAACCTCCCCCACTCACCACCTGGTGTCCGAGTTGTAGAACATCGTCCCGAGCCTGGTGTGTGGGTAAGTCTCCCTGCATGTATTGATTTTCTTGTTCAGTAGTAGCAGAGGCTGTATATTTCACGTGATGAAGCCTCCACTATAAGTATATATATTGCTCCTGCTGGATTAAAATGGCTTCAATGTTTCACTGGCTTATGAAATGTCATAACTCAAACACTTTGACTGATTTGCTCAGATTCTTGGATCATGAAATTCCCTAGTCATTTTGAAATGACATTTATGCTGTTTGAATATATGAAAGCACATATCTTAAATGTTAATTTTGTGTTTTCAAGTCATAATTTATGAAATATTTACAAATCAATATAAGACTGTACATTGTACAATTAACAAACAGGAAAATATCCATCACCGTGACAACAGTAATGAAACACAAAACACAATACTGCAGTAGTTTAATACCTGATTTGAAACTCATATAAATGAGTATTTGAGAGAGCAGGCTTCAGATAGGCCAAGTCGACATTGATCAGGTTCTGTGGTGTAGTTCCTTCACTTGGTAGAGAGCACAGTGAGCCTCACATCAGCAGGCAGAGCAGGAGATACCTCATCCCTGCTCTAACCCAGTCTCATCCTACATCCAGACCTGGCACAGTGTTCCCTGCATCGTCAGTAACAGCAGTTGACGAGAGGAAGGTTACCGGAGACAATCAGCCCTACACTGAGGCAAGCTGGACCTTGTGTCCAATCTACAACCATGCAACCAGCAGCAATGCAGACATTGCCTGTATAATTATATGCGCAAATTTCTGTCAATTACCGTGGTAACGGTATGGGAGGCTGTGATATGTGCTAGTGCAAGAGTACAGCGTGAAGTGGCTGTTCAACAAGAGTGAGAGCACCTCACCTGGACTCGGTGTGTCAGCTACGATGGATCTTCAAATGGGTAATGGTGAATTTTGTATTTTCAGCTAACACCATTGCCGCAGGACCTTGAGTGGAACAGACGAGAGGAGTACTGTTTGAGCTGAGTGATTCTACAAGGCTTCTGCTTGCTTCTAGAAGCGGCCTTGGTGGCAGTGTTGTACGGATTATAATCAGTTAAGGTGTGGATGCATACTTCGTGGATTACCTGTGTTCTCGCTGAAGGTGTTAACAGTGCTTCGTTGTCAGGTGAGTACCGTGGACAGTACTGCGATTTGGTTGGCAGAAATGACCGGTGCTAATCTGATATGTTGTGTTGAAGTAGTATGCAGTCTCAGTTTCAGGATTGCATGCTGTCTATTTCAGCAGTGCTGTTAGGTGTGATTAGCCATAGATACAAGATAATATGGATCCCGACATGTTCTACACATGATGATTATTTACACAAACAGAATCACACAGTGTCCTTTCATGCCATACTGTTTTGGTAAAAATATGCAGGTTGAAATTTTGTCATTTTTAGCATATCATATATCCGATATCATATCATATTTGTGTTTTTCTTTCATGAAAACATTTTCTTTCATGTTTCCATATAATGGATATAGATGCATATATGCATTTTTGTTGTTTGTTCTTTAAACTTTAAATAAGAATTTCAAAAAATAGCTGTTTTGAAACAGTTTATTTCATAGTTTACTCCGCGTTGATCCAGATATGGGCGTGTGACTTCAGAGTGATATTGATTTCACTAGTACCTTATTCGACGTAATAAGCACCCAGGACGCTCTCAAAATTAGAAATTGGGGGCTCTTATTAGAACAGTATTTTGGTGAAAAAAAACAGAGTTGAAAGATAACTTTCGCGGTTTATGCTGACAGCCTGAAATGTTTATATACGACAGATATATTTTTCCAGAATTTAATTGCCCATAATTAAGGGTGCATATGACACACAAGTGCGTATTTTACACGAATAAATAAGTCTTATGTACATTGATCATTCGGAAGGGGTGCTAATTGGGATTGTTCACTAGCCAATATATTAATAAATATCGCCGTGGGCGCTTATTAGAGGGGGCGCTTAATACGTCGAATAAGGTATGTTTTCTCGAGGCAATGACTCATGTGATTAGTGCACACATGTTGCAAGCAGTTGTCCGACTATTCAATATTTACTTACAAAAATGTTCTTTACGTTGGTTAAATATCAATATACCTTCATTTATTGTGCGCAGTGTGTTGAGGTAAATTGACCATCTGTCCGTTGAGGCATGCGCACCATGGGACCTGCAGTTGAAAATTAAATTCTTAAATGGAAATATTTAATTATCACCATACAGTTTCCTGTGTACAGTTACTGAATCTGTCAAATTTGCACTTGTTCACCCATTGACTACTAGAACAATAAAATCAATACGGTATTCAGAAGAAATATCGGCTAAAAGCAGAGTCAGTGGCATGATACAGACTAAGTCATGTTTATGAATCACGGTTAAATAGTGATGATACCAGGTGTTCACGAGAAGGTGAGCATATCCTGACCCACCCATCACAAACACATGCAATGGCAAGTAAAGGAACTTAAAGCAGTAAATCCCTCAAGTCAGTCATGTCCTTGAAAACTGGGGAGAGATGAAACCTGATGTATGGTCCCCAAAAACAGTATGTGTGTGTTCTTGTATCCGACACATGTATGGTTCCATATTAGTAAACATTTAATAATAATACCGTATTCGACGTAATAAGCGCCCAGGGCGCTCTCAAAATTAGAAATAGGGGGCTCTTATTAGAATATTATTTTGGTGAAAAAAACAGAGTTAAAGGATAAATTTTGTGGTTTATGCTGACAGCCTGAAATGTTTATATACGACAGATATATTTTTCCATAATTTAATTGCCCATTATTAAGGGTGCATATAACACACGAGTGCGTATTATACGCGAATAAATAAGTTTTGTGTACATTGATCAATCGGAAGGGGTGCTAATTGGGATTGTTCACTAGCCAATATGTAAGCAAATATCGCCGTGGGCGCTTATTAGAGCGGGGCGCTTATTACGTTGAATACGGTAATAATAATAATAATAATAATAATAATAATTATAACTGCATTTTTCATTTTAATCTGTAAATAATAATAACAACAACAACAATAATGTAATAATGCTATATCTATAGTGCAAAATTCCACATCACTGAGTGACATGCTCAATGCGTAAACACAGCATATGTACATATATACAACAGATAGGATACTAAAAAATATAGACATTCAGTTGTAGCCTTCAAAAAGGTACGTTACAGATATCACGGATGTATGGTTCCATATCAATAAACATTTGATATCTTGTGACAGTTGTGTCAGAAATGTCAGGTTGTGATGGTAAATTTGGTATTCATTTAACAAGTCCACACCACACCAACAGTGCTAACATCATGGGATGGGCAGAATTCCAAGGGCGGCGGTTCGGCTGATGACGACTTTTTAAACATGATATGACATCCCCATTAACACCTGCAGCTCAAGTCTGGGGGGGGCTGTGTGGCTTACAAGATAAATGTTTGTTTTTTCGCTGTGTGTTTGTGAGACCCTCCTCTCCTCTATGGCATCACGTCATGTGATCCTGAGAGAGTGCAGCTGTAAAATGTCCCTCAAGGTGAGAACACGTATGGAGGGTTAGTAATCAATGAGGCGTAGTCTATCAATGATCGAGACATACATCGCATATGTTTCTTCTGTCCCCTGGGGAGTATCATTTTGTGCAATCTTCTAGCAATATCATTGCCGGGACAACAAGAACTAGCCTTGCTCCAAGGCTGTTCTGAAAGAAAAGTATAATTCTTATCATTTTTTTAATTTGAAGTTTACATGATATACGGCTACTGCGAGATTGACGTTCATAAGTGTATGACCAACACAATTTGACGTTCATACGTTTTTCACGTTCATACGTTTTTCACGAGACCCTGTTCTTGAAATGACGTAAACACTGACAGACTACTTCCACATTCCTGGGGGACCCCTGGGAATTCTCTAGCACGAATAAACACAGAAGCGTTTCACATCATTTAGACCCTTTAATCTTGAACTTAGCGTTTCCGCATACATTGGGATAAGTCGGAGAGTTGTATTGCATGTCCGTTCAAGGATATCCTTGCTACTACCCATCTTAGAGAACAAAACGTAGAAAAGCACATTCAAGCTGCCTTAGTACCGACTCGATCCTCAAGCACCGACGTTCATACAGTTTGTCCCTCACTCTATGAAGGTTCATACTCCAATGAACTCAGACAAAGTGAAAGCCAATTCTTAAGTGCAATCTTCCAGCAATATCATTGCTAGGACACCAAGAACTAGCCTTGCTCCAAGGCTGTACTGAAAGAAAAGTCCATAGATATGTAGTAATTCTATCTTCCTAATAGGCAAGTCCAGATATGTGGACAGAGCAAGACTCCAGTCTCTTATAAATAGGGACAACTTATTATTATTTAAACTAACAATTATTGACTTGTGCAAGTCTAACCAAGCTACAACACTGTTTTTAGCTTGTGGGTGTTGCTATTAGACAAACATTTCGTCCCCAAAATAAAGTTTTCTTATTTGAAAATATGTATCTACAGAATAAAACATAAAATTGGAATGGAACCCAGAACAAGAGTAATCATAGAGCTGAGGCAATCTAGACTTGCCAAACCTTTCTAGACTTGAGTTGGCTTCATTTCTTATTTTTTTCTGTAGGGTCTGGGAGACAAACCATGTTGTGATCAGTAACCTAACACTGCTGATGGATCAGAATGAACCAGGATAATTAATCAGTTTGTAATGTCCAAATTTTGTGTGTAGAAACAGAATGAGGATCAGTCAGTGTCTGCAGGAGGAGGATGTCATTAGTAGTGTTAAAACTGTTGTGTGCTGATTTAACAGTGTTGTGTTTACATCTGCTTGAGATTGTGACTAATCTGTACAGAAGACTTGCAATGAACATATCTCATCTTCTTTCATCTCCAGCATTCTTCCCTCTATCCTGATCTGATTAGTCCCTAGTGATATCCTTCCCTCCTCCACACACAATCTCCCCTCGCCACTCCTCCACACACAATCGCCCCTCCCCCCTTCTCCACACACAACATTCCACCCCTTTCCTCTTTCTCTCCCGTTATCATCGGCATCTACCGAACTCACTCACTCTGGCGTTGTCTGCCCTCTGTCCCTCCTCACAGATCCTGGCGACTCTGTTTCTTCTCAGTAGGTCTGAATACAATTCATTCTACCTGTGAAGAGCCGGAGTAGAATAGGTCTTCAGCAACCCATGCTTGCCTTAAAAGGTGACTATGCTTGTCATTAGAGGTGACTAATGGGATCGGGTGATCAGGCTCGCTGACTTAGTTGAAGCATGTCATCGATCCCAATTGCATGAATCGATGCTCATGATGTCAATCACTGGATCATCTGGTCCAGACTCGATTATTTACAGACTGTCGTCACATAGCTGGAATATTGTTGAGTGTGGCGTAAAATAACATCCCAACCAATCAACAATTCATTCACATTTGATGTTGAAACAGTTTTTAAAAACCAATACGTGATCGGTTCAACTTTCTGGCATCTGTCTCAATGTATGACCTTCACCCTTTCCCTGGACAATAGCCATGTGAAATCTGGTGTTATTGTTGTGTGAGAGTATTGTCACAGCCACTCAGTAGGAATAAATGTAGCCCCACATACACAGAACAGCTAAATTACTTAAACTGTTGCTTATAATAAAAGATTGGCATAATGCAACACCATATTCAGGGTTATTGGCTATATGATAATTTATCTGAGCTTTGAAGTTGGTACACCATTAACTTAATTACTGGCAGTGGTTCTGTCACCACTTAATTGAAATATTGGTGCCAGAACCCCTGCAGACTAGATTAGTTAATGAAACGGTTCATTCGTTAGACCCAACCTGTCAGCGTTCCCCTATTAGTGGGAAAGACATGGAAGGTGATTAACCCAATCAGTGAAGGTCAGGTCAAGGGTCACCAGGGTCACATGCAAGGGCAGATAATCACGACTCGTCAATGCTTCACATGTTTGTATTCCCCACATGCCTCAATATCACCCATAAATACCAATGCAGTCCCTCAGGGCTCAAACTATACCTGCTCAGATAAGGATACTATGATGTAGTTGTGATATTAGAACTTTAGAAGAATCCCATTTGTAACCCTAACCCAAAACCTCCCCCCTCTTCCCCAAT